AGTTATCAACAGTATGATTATGATTTATTTTACATAAATTAAGGAAACTTACAGTGTCAATATCCACTGATGCTACTGGATGTTTGTGTGCTTCTTTGGATGTGAATTTTCCTTCAATTTTTTGGGTCAGCTCACCTGAAAAGAAAAACATTACATCAGCCCAGTGACGATTACAATGGAGAAATCATACCTGTGCTAAAACCATACCACATCAGACTTGTTTGGTCACTTGATGGGTATTATTTGCATAGGTTGTCACATTAAATGCCACATTATACACTAAATATACATAATATTAAGCATTTAAATAATATTGCAATGGTGAGATTTGTAATTTTTTGAAATACCATATTTCAAGTATACATGTGAGGAAAACAAGCCACGCATGGCACAGTCCCCGTTAGTTATCGAATTTAAGATATATAGTTATGTTTATAGTAATATAGCTGGAACATAAACATGTCAGGAATATGATTATGATAATTGTTTAACATTAAAATGATTGACATTTGTGTCTGATCGTCAAACGAGTATTGAGAGATATTGCTCTGGAACATCATTAATTAAAACAAAATCAGCCATTTTGAATACATGTTATAATGAATAAAATTTAAACATAATCAGTCAAAGCATGACAAAGATATGGCAATAGAGCTGCATTCAAACTTTAAATCACAATACTTACAAATCTTAGTAAGTAAGGAAGGATTTGCCCAACACTCACCTATAGAGCAGGGAAGCACATTTCTGTGTTGCCAGGTTTCATTGCAGTAGTAGGCATCAGACAGTAGAGTGCGGATATTCTGAACTGGAAAGGTAAATTCAAATCAGTAAAAACATTAGAATTCAACATTAATATCTGATACATTTCTCATTATGTGTGAATTTGATCACAACACAGTATTAGCACTTACCGGTATATACATAGAATAGAATATTTTATTTGACTCGAAATAATGTAAGAAATTACTTAATTTATAACCACCCAGGCAGCATATTGGATGATTGTGGTGTCGTTGGAACAGAGTAAAAAACAAAATAAAAGTGATAGTGATAATTGCTCTAATAGAAAAATCATACATATCCGAGACTGAATAACAAATTAAAGGTGAAATAATTCTCATGGTTGAATACATACATCTTTCATTTCTGTGTTTACAAAGATAAGAAATGTTCGTACTTGTTTAAAAACGACCTCCCCAACTCGTATTCAATGGAATGTCACCAAAAAAGCTAATTAAACTTGAAATTCAGCCCCCCCCCCCTGAAGCAATTTGTTAGTATCTGGCCTTCATCAAAATACGATGTACATCTTTTTGGCCATCATACAAACACATACAAATTTCCTGTTCTATACGACTTCTCACGACCGTGGGGGCCAAATGATCAGCGTTAGGAGGCCAACCTACAGGACTGTACTCAGGGCTAAGTCTAACCCTGCCCCTCCCATGAAATTATCTATTTTGGGATCTATCTAGAGGTGTATTCATTACCAGTATTAACTTGGGATATGTCGGGATGGTGGCAACTACACCAGACGTATTCGGGGCTATACAAAGAGCATTTCTGACAGTGTTACTGGTTACATTGCTTCTTGTTGGTATTTTGCACCTTTCCCTATATGTACCGAGAAAAATTGTGATTACAAACCTTTGAAGACCGAGGCGGAAATCGGTATTTTCCTTGTGAACCATGCCGCCCGACTACAAATTACGTGCGCGGCCATTTTGAAATAATTCTTGACCTTATCATACCAGAGTTCGTAATATGAAGTAGCAAATTATAAAATATAATTTTACTAAAAACGTATTTAGTTTAAATTTTAAACCTAATGCAATGTTTCGTTTTTTAAAGAAGACGCAGTGGACAGACAAAATTCGTCAAGAACGTCGGTGAAAGATTGATCAACTGTTGCGCCACCACAGTCAAAAAGTATGAATTACTTTGTTTAGAAATTTTCCTTATGAATGTACTAGTAGTTCATAATCGGGAACGTTTTGCTTTGTAAACAATTCTAGACATGAACTGAATGGATTCATATTTTTACAAACATATTATGATTCATTATCGTTTTTGAAACGCATTTTCTCTGCAAATGTAAATGGTCGTACTGTCAAATTGACTCCTGTTTATTTGTGTCTTCCCTGAACATTCATAGCGCCATTCATGAAAGAAAATATAAAATTTAATACAGCCCTGTTTGACACGCCTGTGAGAAGTGAAAAAATGGAGTAAACCCCTTTTAAAATTTGACACTATATTCAGTATTGAAGAAGTTACCACATAACCCTAGTTTCAATAGTTTATATAACAGACCATCCCTCTAAACTGATGCCGTGGAAAGATCAATAAAACACGAAAAAAAGATAATTTCCAGACTAATTTAGTTTACTATTAACATTTAGGTATAAAGACTCCACTACAAAACTGTTACCAGTGATATAGATATATATTATTATTTTATTTCCATTTCTCTAAAGAAATATACCCCACTAACCTGGGGGAACAGGTTACAATGCATATAAAAAGAAAGTTACAAGCGTGACGTTAATCGCCTCAATAAAATAAAAATACTTTGGATGATTTCATGGTTATCCCGAGAAAAAATATAAATAAGCACAGTCCCTCTATAGAGTAGATGGACTGTGATATAAGTTTACTGATAGGCGAAAGGAGCTCAAATTGTGGTTCAATGCAGTTAATTCGATCAAAAAGTGGTTTCCGAATATGGTTCTATGCTGGACAAACTACCAGAAAATGAGTTTCATCTTCAACAGCATCTATACATATTTGGCAGGTTCTATTTTCCACTGGAGTTCCATAATATCTATCGGTCTTAATGTGTAACTTATGATTAGAGCGCTGAAGTTTAGTTAAAGCTTGTATGTACAGGGGAACACGAACGATATCCAAATAATTCTCATAACAAATATTTGTTTTAAATTGACGAAACGTTCGTAACTTATTTCTACTGTTTGGGGATCTACAAACATAGTCAAATAAAGCATCTTTCCAACTTTTGCAATAACAATCTCTCTCTTTCTTTCCAACTAACAACGTTGTTTCATCGGTAATTTGGGAGATAAACCTATTCTCCCAAATAGTATGCATATTGTGTTTAATTAATAATTTCTTAATAGCTGAAGCAAAAGATGGCTTTCCTATCTGTGCCAATTTTTCAGACTCTCTATAAGCTTTTTAAACGAGCCGATTAGATGACATTTTCAGAATACGTTTCCAAAATTTAATAAGGATTATATTTCTGCCAATACTAGGTTAGTGGGTATCGTCCGAGTTCACCCATAACTGCATTGCTGTATTTTGCTTCACACCTAATATATATTTACACCACTTTAACTGGTTTACAATACCGATTTCCTATAACTGGCGCTCCATAGTTTAAAATTGGTTTAATTTTTGGCTAATTTTGAAAAAATCTAGTTACCAATTTCTTTCCTGACCACGTACGCTGCCTTTGGAGTTTTTCTGGCCATAATTGCGCATGCCAAGTAAAATGAACCATTTTCGGCAAAGACAACACCTAGATATGTATAATTTACAATATCAATTTGATTTCCAAATAATTTAAAATCCAAGTTATCGTCATCACAGTCAACAATATCTCTATTGAAGATAATAATTTCAGTTTAATGGTGTTTACAAACATTTTCCACATATAACAATAAAATTGGAATCTGGCAAGTAACAACTGTAAACCCGAAACACTATCAGATATAATAACAGTGTCGCCGGTATACATAAGACGATAATAAGATGTTAGTCGATAATCATCCAATTCAATCCCATCATTCGATTTACAG